TATTATGACTTTAGAACCATTCGTTAGGCCTTGGCCGTCTTTTCAGTTTCGTAATCCTATAAATAATCGACAGAACGCCTTGGACGGGGATCAGCCCGTCGCAAAGTCTCTGCCTTCACACAGAACAACACAAACACAGAATAAAGCACACAATGCAGACATCCTTGCCTCGAGTGGGATTCGAACCCAAGATCCCAGCGTTCGAGTGAAAGAAGACAGTTCATGCCTTAGACCGTGCGGCTACTGTGTTCGACGAATGAAAGAATACAAATAGTAAATGTGTTTTATCGATAATAACCCAAAAATTCCGATAATGCACCAGCTAAGTCAGCATTTATTCACAATCTTAAGACGTTTATCTCAAAGATTCTTCAAGACGGAATGTTACGATATATGCCCCTCAGTTTCAGCCGAAATTTATCGGTGTTACGACGGCTTTTGTCATTTTAGCTTATGTTTTATTCGCCGGTCACGGTAGCCGAGCTGTCTAAGGCATGTACCGTCTTCGCTCGCTTGGAAACCGGGATCGTGGGTTCGAATCCCACTCAGGGCATGGATGTTTAGTTTGTGTTTGTGTACAGGTAGAGGCCTTGCGACGAGCTGATCAACCGCCCAAGGAGTCCTACCGAATGTGTAAGATCTAGAAAAACCGAAGTGAACAGAGAAGTTCATGGAGGTAGGCCTAGGCCCACTGGGGCTGTAGTGCCAAGGAAAAAAATATGTTTTATTAGAAGTGATAACAGTGAATGTAAAAACTTACAATTTTTAAATCAGCGAAATAAATATAACGTAAAAGAAAGGTCTCTGTAGCTTTTTGTGCTTAATAATGTCGCAAATAGGACAAGGCCGAATACAGTAAAATGCAGACGTTTTGCTAAAAATTACTACAAGTATGATTACTGAGAACTCCCATTGTTATGTTTTTTTTCTTTGTTCTGTGAAGCTTGGTTGGTTCCGCTACAGTGCATCATTATTCCGGCTAACGATAATCTACTGTAATATTTAATAGATTATGGCCATTACCCATGTCATTAAATCATTATTGATAAAAAACGAACCCACATAAATCCTGCCATGTACGTTACAGGAAATTCCGCCTGAGATACTGTGGACATTGTAAAGAGGAGTGGCACTGAGAAAATGAAACTAACGTCAAACACAGAATATGGTAGTAAAAATAAAATTTCGAGTAGCTCATTATAAGTGGGGGTTGGACGAATTTAGTTACCATATACATTCACTACTCTCTTATTTTTTATTTGTAACATCCGGAAATAAGTAATATTTTAATTATAAACTTTTCTTCTATTGGCGCTAGAGCCCCAATTTGGGCCTTTACCTCCAAGAAACTCTGTTTCACTTCGGCTTAGTAGATCTTAGACATTCGGTAGGACTCCTTGGGTGGGTGATCAGCTAGTCGCAAGGCCTCTACCTGTACACAAACACAGAAAACCGCGCGAGCGCACGCACACACACACACACACTAAATATCCATGCCCTGAGTGGGATCCGAACCCACAATCCCGGCTTCCAAACGAGCGAAGACAATGCATGCCTCAGACTGCTCGGCTACTGTGACCGGCTAATTATAAACCTTAGGGCTATGGTAATATTCCTCACACATTAAGGAACGTAAAGATGTGTACAATTTTGAAGGTTTCCTTAGAATGATCCTTTGAAATAAACATTATACTGAAAATATTAATACAGGAATCCTATGTGTTATAGGTTATTTGATCACAGAGAACGGCGTTACTGATTAGAAAACGTATAAGTACAATTCAGTGTGGAATTATTTAGAAGAAACAATAAAGTTTAGAGGTTCACGAAGGCAGGGTTTGTATACCTCGTACAGGCGTAATAAACACAAGCAATCGGTTTGAAACTCGGTTTGGAAAGTTTTCCCATTTGGAAGAGAAAAGTATATGGTGTCTTGAATTTTGATAATAATAATATAATCTGTTTACATTCCCCTTTGCTTACATGCTGAGCTCAACAGCTAGTATAGAATTACACAGTCAGCATGAATATATAGCTTCAGTAGCAATAAGACATACTCGTACATTAAATCATCCATTCATTCATTCGTTCAATCATCAATGATTCTACAGCGTTTTGTTGGACCCTGGCCTCTCCTTCAGTTTCGTAATCTTTTTTTACAGAGATGGTATGACTCCTTGGATGAGTGATCAGCCCGTCGCAAGGCCGCTACCTACACACAGAACAACACAAACACAGAATAAACGCACACAAATTCACCCATGACTTGAGTGGGATTCCAATACACGATTTCAGCTTTCGAGCGAGCGAAGATAGTTTAAGCCTTAGACCGCGCGGCCACTGTGTTCGGCCAATGGGACATGTACAAAGACAAA